CTAGTAGCAGGCCTTGTAAAGGTATACGCTGCAAGGGAACCGGTTATCTGCCCTTCCTAATCAATATGTGTTTGTTTGGCAGAGACTTGATGCCCAGGACCCTAGAGGGGCAGATCACCATGGAGAAAACGCCCAGCTACTTCGTCACCAAGGAGGCACCCGCTCGTATCTCCGCCATGTCAAAGGGCACCAAGCTCATCGTAGTCGTAAGGGACCCTGTAACCAGAGCCATATCTGATTACACGCAGACTCTCTCTAAGAAACCTGACATCCCCACCTTCGAGAGCCTGACCTTCAAAAACAGGACTACAGGCCTGATCGACACCTCGTGGAGCGCCATCCAGATTGGCATCTATGCCAAGCACCTAGAGAACTGGCTCCTGTACTTCCCCATCGGGCAGATCCTCTTTGTCAGTGGGGAGCGACTGATCAGCGACCCTGCTGGGGAGCTGGGCAGGGTCCAGGACTTCCTGGGCCTCAAGAGGATCATCACAGACAAACACTTCTACTTCAACAAAACCAAGGGTTTTCCATGCCTGAAAAAGGCTGAAGGCAGCAGCAAACCCCACTGTCTGGGGAAGACGAAAGGCAGGCCCCACCCCGAGATAGACCAGGAGGTGGTGCAGAGACTGCGGGACTTCTACCGGCCTTTCAACATGAAGTTCTACCAGATGACTGGGCACGACTTTGGCTGGGACTGAGGCTGAAAAGAAATAATTTAAAAAAGAGAAAATTATAAGATAATATATATTTTTTTTACATATCAGTGGAGAGGGAAAAAATACATAACTTTAATAGTTGTGCTGAAAAATGCTGTTTGTTCTGATTTTTCTTTTTGGCACAATGTCATTGCTTAATTTGTTTTCTTTCTGCTGCTGAAGGAGGGTTGGTGTGGCTGAAGAAGATGGCTGAGCGCCAAAATTTAATTCTATTAAAGTCAGCACAAGCTTGGTCATTTTTTCCATGGGATTTGGCACTGTGTCTATTGAAAAGGGGGCAACATTTTCAAAAGTGCCTAAGTCCCGTAGTCAGAAGTGACTTTGAAACTTAAAGAGGCGAAGTCTTGTTAATAGGCAACAGGATTTAACCTCCTAAGGGTTTTAATCATGTTTGGAAAATGGAACATAGGAATATAAATGCACAATTTGCTTTTAAAAATATTACCCTGGAGCAGATTGGGGCAATTTTTAAAGCACTGGCAAAAATTGAAAAAGTAATTTTTTCACTTATCATTTATTTTTCTTTCTTGTTCTTTGGGGGGAGGGGGTTGGTCCACTAATGGAAATTTTTTCATCAGGTATAAACAACTATGTTTCATTTTTCAAAAACCAAGAACAATTTTGTTGTTATTGGTTTAAAATTAAACATTTTGTTTTTTATTGCCAAAAAATGGGAAGACATTCAGTTTTTGAACAAAAAAGATCCACATTTGTGAAAATTCAATCACGTGACCATTTCCAACTAGCCTTATCCAGAATAGCCTTGCCATAACCTTTACTCTCACCCTAATTCATGTTACAATCCCTTTCAAGAAACGTTGAAGAAACACCCTTCCACTGGGGTGTCATCCATGAAAAAATGAAGGTTGTGGTCTGGAAGGGTTCACAGCAATGGGAAATTTGAAGGATTGAGGTGATAACTAAAGGGGTCAAAGCAATGCATAGACAATTACTACTAACCCAAAGTTCACAGTAGTATAAGAATGATGTAGCCATGATTGTCCAAAAATTATGTGAGGCAAGGATTTCTTAGGATGATTTCTTTTATTGGACCAGGGAGACCTGATGAAGAATATTTTGCATTCAAATGCTTGTCTAACTTTATCCAAACTAAGAAGTTGGTCCAGTAAAACATATCACCCCAAGAAGTCCTTGTCTTATCCATAGCACATTTCTGTTCCCTGGATTAAAAAAAAAACAGTCCAGTGTCTTGGGCAACATTTTTCATAAAACATTATTTTTATTTTCAAGAAATGAGCCTGGTACTCACTCCTGAATCCACTTTGAACTCCTCTTTCCAGCTCTTCTATTAACTGTCCCTTAAAAAATTATCCTAAGCATGGCTGAAGTTGCAGAGCACCCAGAGAGACCTTTCCCCGTCACCTCTGAAGAACCAAATACATGATATTTCACATGCATTCAGTTCCTAAATTATTTCAAATAATTGAATGCTGAGGGGACTTTCTGAAGGTCTATGCACCGAGACTTTCTTCCGTGCATTTTCTGAGCTCAGGCATCGTTACTCAGAGACCAGTAACAGCTGCCTAAAGTTCAATAGTTGGGGGTTAGGAAATTGTTAAATCATTTTTCTGGAATCTGCTTCCTCCTCCCCCCCCAAGCACAAGAGGTCATCACGTCACCCACCCCTCAGTACCTTCAGCTGATACTTTCATCTTCCTGGACAAATTCTTGGTTTAGAATATTCCATCTCCAGTTTTAAGCTGGTTTTTGGCAGTGTCCTGTGCCACAAAAAACCATCTGGGTAAACATTTTATAATCATCTTATCCAAACAAAAGGGGGGGAAGCAGTTATTAGAACATTCAGACAGAGCCTAGAACAAAGCACAGCAACGGCGCTTACTGCCTTTAACACACTGTCTCCCTTTGTGTCTTCATGCCCTTTGAGGTCCATCTAAGGGCTTGATTCATGGCTCGTTACAATGCACTCCTCTTATAAAAATCTTGGTTATTGATGTTCACACAACAGCCAAAGGAGTAGTGGTGACAGTCACGTAGCTGAATATATCAGAAAGCAAGGATGAGCAAAAGAGTTTGTACCAAGTAAGAACACAACAGTTTTCATCCCTCTCTCTCTGTTCACTACTCCCTCAGCCCAAACTCCACACCAGAAGGTTTCTCAAGGGTCAGCAAGGTATATGTGTTAACTTTTCCCTTTGTTAAATTTCCCTGTCAACATTGTCTAAGGCTCCTTGTTCTAGTCAGGAATATCCGAATTAGAATAGGCTGAACAAAGATTTAAAAAAAAGAAAATTCTGTTTCTTTTCTCATTGAAATTTGCATCCCCACCAGAACAGGCCCAAGCATACACTACTGATGTGCTTCCTACCCATGCCTGTAGGCACATTTCTAATTTTGGTATCTGCCAGTTAAAACACTCAAGGAAGAGCCTCTGAGGCTGGTCTTGAACTCACAGTTTATCACAGACAGAAGTGACAATTTTCACCCTATCTGACCCCTGAAAGTGCCCTACAGCTGTGATGTGCACGACTGCAGAGTGCTTTAAAAGGTCCTGATCCTGCAAAAATGAGGGTTCAGATGAAGGGGCTCCACTTATTAATGCCTAAGATATCTAAAGCAAACTAAGATTCCCACAAGTAGAGATGTGGCCCAGAAAGCGGGATAAATGATGCTAAAAGGCATCAACACTCGTATCCATTGGGAATTTAGCATATGATATTGTAGTAACTTACACAATAGAGCTTGCAGGAGAGAGCACATAGTAAGTGATTCTCCCCCCACCCAATCCCTTCCCTGCATCTCCTCCCTATCACAATACAGAAATCAGTTGTAACTTATTACCTTCCATTTTCCCTGAGGCCCTCTCAATGGACAGTGGAGCGGGGAGGAAGCACTGGTTCCTGGCTCTTTTATGTTCCATTTTCTCTACCCCAAAGACATCAATAATTCCATTTTAAATCAGGTTAACAGAATAAGGACTTTTTTTTCTCAAAGTGTTAATTGCTCTTCTTGTTCATTCTGTTGCTGACAGACAGGATGTTAATAGTTGTTAAGCAAAAGGTTATCTTGGGAAACTATTGTCATGACTTGTTAGGGAAGACCTAGAGGTGCAAGAGTGGGCTCCACCCTTTATGTCACTGAAGGTCTGTCCTAACACTTGCCAATGGGAAAGGGAATCTCAAGCACAAATGCTTTTGACAGCAGAGGGGTGATGAACCAGCTTGTTAGCAACTGAGAGAAGGGTGTTTCCCACAGAGACACTGCCAAGGAGTGTCAGGCCAAAAACTTTTTGTTACAAAACTAAAAATTTCACAAAACTAACCACTACGGATTTCAAATGCACCTATGTGACTTAGGCACACAGAAGTAAGATCTTCAAAGGTAGAAATGGCAGTTCTCTGCCTATACCCATTGTCTTTCAATAAGAGTTTAGCCCAGGCTATTCCTTACCTAGTTTTTGTGCCTGTATAAATGTCAGTAGTGGGTATGGGGTTGGGTTTTTTTTTACTGATCTACTGGTGCAAGGCCTAGCATCAAGACCTTGTAGACAGGATAGCAATGCTTTTCTTTTTTTACTAGTATCTAGGAAGACAAGTTCTTTGAGCAAATGTGACATCTTTATTAGCCCAACTAAAAAGTTGGAAGTTTCCATTTCAAATAGCAAAATTTGATATCTTCCATGTTTCAGGGGTTTTTACTGGTATCTGTTATTCACTTTCCCATCCAGTTGCTGTGAAGCCTCTTGCTGCAGATATGTTTTCCTGTGCTCAAGGAGGTTAATGCTACTAAGCTATATCAATATAGATGAGGCAGTTCAACTAAAGTGTGTAGACTAGTCCTTGGGCAACTAATTGTCTTTTATGCCTTGGAAAATCTCTCCTACTTATTTATTTTCAATGTTCCTGAGTCACTTAAGTCCACATCTTGAAAGGTTTTTAGGTGCTTTTCAGTGGGAGAAAGGCACCAAAATATCTTTGAGGATTTGGGATTTAGGCATTTTTGAAACTCCCGCTCAGTTTGAATAAACTTTTAGATTAGTCTAAGGGAAGTTACGCATCCAAATCCCATTGCAGTCTAGGAATTACGTACCTGAATCCTTTTGGCTCCTTTGAAAATCCCAGCCAGAAATTTCCTTTCCTTTCCTGTCCTGACCTTTCCTGCTATGGTCTTTTTTTTATATATGTAAACATGGTCCTCTGGTGGAAATCTCAGCCTCCTAGTACTGGGTGTTTTAGCACTAGAAAGTTAAACTATAGGTAACTTTCAATTTTATTTTATAATTAGAGTTTTATTTTCCCAGTGGAAAAAGATCAGCAAACAAGATGCAGGGGAAAGCAAACTAGGTATTTAAAAATCTTTCAGTTTAAATAAGCATACATGTTGTTCAGAGAAGATGAGCTGTGGGCTTTCATTACCAGATGCCACTATTATGCCTTAGCAGTATCATGTCAAAATCTTAAAAGAATGGTATCAATATCAGGAATCAAATCCTGCTACTAGTTTCTCAGATGAAACTCCGCTGTGGTTTCATCTTATTTACCCCCACCATAAATCAGTCTGCCAACTGAAATCAGTGCTATTGCTCTGTTTGTACAGCCCCTAGCACAGCAGGGGTCCTGACCCACGGCTAGGAGTCCAAGGCATTTCCACACTCATACAAACAAATAAGAAGACTGCGATAGAATCAGGGTGGGCAGGAGTTGCACCCTGAGTTGCATTCAAGTAAGCACAGAATTGGTCCCCAAGGTTTTAAGTAACTCTCAGCCTTACTAACAGAGGCACTGAGCACTTGGAGCTGCCTTTGATTAACTTTCATGGAACGGATGTTCAGCATCTCTCAAGATCAGTGCTGTGGTCTAATGCTGCTGAAAGACTCCAGTGCACTTGCCTTTTCAACATGCCATCAGGGCCAGATGCATTATCCATACAAATCAGTGGTCATCTTTCTTTTTTCAGCACAGTTTGGACCAACCTTCCAGACCTCATCTCACTAACACCACCCTTATTCTGCCAGGTACTTAGGCACATGCTTGCTATTTCAGTGCATGCTTAAATGTTTTGCTTAATCTGGAAGGGGCACTGAATTCAGCTCTGCCAAAATGGATCTGAAAAGCTTGCAATAACTTTAGGAAGTTAGCTTGTGAAAAATAAATCTGACCTTTGCATTGATGGGCTAAGAGAAATTTTTATGTTGCTGTGATTTCCTGGAAAAAGCTGCTACATCAGCATTAGTCTAAAGGGCTAATTGTGTGCCATGGGGTATACCATAAACTCACAAGTTATTGTCATATCCAAATACTTTAAGCATTACATATGAATCTAAAAGCCAGTATATCGTGGGATTTCAATGAATGAGGCTCCTGTATTTTCATGTAACTGGTATTTGGGAGGGAGGGGATACGATATTATTAAGTTATATGTCAAGCAATGACATGCTTGTTATTTGGAAATTTATACCCTGAATGTATTTATTTATTTTAAATAACTCTTATATCCAGCCTCCTCATTTCTACCCCACACATGTTAGTATATGAAATGTTAGGTCTCCAGAGTAGGGAAAGCATCCCTGTGTTTTCCTTTTTTAGAACTCTAATAATTTTTATTTGTACATAATGCTTTCTGGTTTTCCTTTGCTTTGGGATCCTGTTTTTT